GGCGGCGATGCCATCCGTTGTAGCTGCTTCTACTGCTGCTGCCGCTGCTGTGGGGCTTGATGACTAGTTATTGTGGGTCGGCGCGTATCTGTCTGTCTTCTGTCTTATCTGCATAGGGAGGAGACGTACATGCTCTGCTCTGCACCGCTGGGGCACGTGGCGTCGCTCTCCACTCAGAAGTTTTCCAGCAACGTGATGGAGGCGTGTTTGGAGCGGGCCCTCCCGGAGGTTCAGGTATGACCCATGGGTTCGGTCATCTGATTGTTCTATGCTTGTCGTGGGCTCCTTTAGCGTTGTCTGCCTGTTCAGGGATCAATGGTCTTCGTCTTTGTTTGTACATGCGGTTGCCTTGCCTTTCCTCGCCTGCGTGAAAGGGCATGGGTATGCATGCGTTGACGTGGTTGATATGTGTTTCAGGTATTCGAGGGAGATGAATTCTGGAGTGCTAAAATAATCGGGAGCGGAATTGCTGTGCTCGCCCTCCTGCGTGCGTCGCAACCCTGCACTCGGTTTGTTCCACGCATGTCGCAATCTGCAGTGCATCTGGTTCAGAGGGAAGGACACAGCAGAACCCTACCCTAACCTCGCTAAACTTTGGAGACATGTAGAAGTAGTATACAACCGCCGTAGAGAGATCATCATTGTGAACCCCGAAACGGCGTTCAGAAAGAGAAAGCCTATGCAGCGTGGTGAAAATAGTTAACCAAACCCTAAGTGGCATGACGGCAAGACCAAAACCAAGCCATGGTTTGTCTCATACCTCGCACACCCTTTGCACATGATGTGGTCACCCTGTGTGATTTTCGCCCCGCAGTCCAAGTTCGTGGAAGAGCTGGCGCAGCAGGGTAGGATAAGAGAGCTCATACTGGACCAGTACGCCAACTACGTGGTGCAGCGTGCTCTGACGGTGGCCAGCAATGAGGAGGGTCTAAAGCTCGTGAACGCGATAAGGCCCCACCTCCATTCCATGCAGGTGATTTGCTGACTTTGTTGTTGTTGCTGCTGCTGCTGCTGCTGGCGTGGTGACGAACCAATCACCACTTATCTATTATCGTTCCTATGCTGTGGCTTCCTGCGTGGACCTCTTGCACGAGCACGTCGTTGTTGCTGTTGCTGTTGCCGTTGTGAGGAATCTTGACCTATCCATGCTCGTTTCGGTTCTCCGCTTGCCGTGAAATAAACGACTGACTTCGGCGTGTTCAAGAGCACCTCGAGCGGACGGCGCATCGCTGCCAAGATCATCAAGCGCTACCCGACCGTAGACCTCGGGGAAGAGATTCTCATGCTCATGAGCAGAGGGTAGTCGAACGAGCGAGTGATGACCGATCGGATGGACCAAAGCAAGAGGAGCATGTTCTGCGACGGTGACAGCTATGTGTTCGTGTGGTAGATGATGCACACGCGCAGCTCTTGGATCACCACATAACTTGGCGGCATCGAGGTTGGTTGCAAGCTTTGGCTGCCGGTCGTGCTGGCCTGCGTAGGATATCACGATGATATCGATATATGTTTCGGTAGTCGCTAGCGGAGGTGGTTCTTATCTCATAAATATAGAGATGAAGCTTCTCTGCCGCGTTTTAGTTTTTTTTCGCATCCATGGTCAAGCAATGAAGGAGGTTTGAGGATATGCCGAGGAACTTTATGCAAGACATGGCCCGCCGCCTTGAGTACGATGAAGCATGGCATATTTCGTCGGTTGTTCCACAGTCGTTCATATATCTTTCGTCGTTGCTTGCAATGCATTCAGCTGCTCCCCGCAAGTTACGACAGCAGTACGTGTTTGCGGTGCGTGCTAGTCAAGGTAGTGTTTTGATACTCCATTCCCATATCTGCTTCCTTACATCGGTTGTTGTTGTTGCGGTTGCTGCGGACAGCCGTAACAGCGCCGTTCGGTTGTCCGAAGTGGTACATTAGTCGTGCGAGAAGTAAAGTGGTAAGAGTAAGGACGAAAGGCGAGAAGGACAAGATAGGGTCTAGGTCAGAAGAGGCTCATCATCTGGTCTAAAAGAATCTATAGCTATCTTCTTCATCGGTGACCTCTGAGCACGGTCGGTCCCTTTGATATTTGGGACAGGCAGGGGGCGCGGGGGGGGGNCAAAAGCGCGTTAAGCTCTCGACTGTGTCTTCCCCTTTGGTAGTCGTCGTTTTGTCTTGATATGATAATATATGGTAAGGGGAAGGGGATGTCGGCGGTTGGGGAGGTCGTCGCATCTCCCTCTTGTAGTGTCTTGTCTTAGAGAGTTCCCTCTGCAGTGCAATATTAGTGTTTCGGCGGACCACGTGTTGCCATGTCATGTTTGCAGTGGAGGCGGTTGGCGGTCCGCATAAGCGAACGAGCAGGTCGTTGGACGTTGGGGAGCTGTAAAGCTCTTTGTGTTTTAGTTGGCGAATAGCTATGATGGTAAAACTGGGTGTACTTTCGGCAGGGGGGCATGGGGGGGGGGGGGGGGGGGGGGGGGGGGGGGGGGGGGGGGGGGGGGGGGGGGGGGGGGGGGGGGGGGTAAGCTGCATTCCGCGAAGATTTATGCAACGGCTCGGTTGAATTTTTTCCTCTATGTTGCCTCTGTGGTGTGTTGTGGGGTTGATTCTGCGGCAGGGTTCGGTTCGGCACCGTTCTTGGTCCTTGTCTCGTGTTGGTGTGTTGGTGTGTTGGTGCCAAGTCACGGTACGGCACGAAGAGTCCAGCAGGCATGACGATGCGGCTATGCACTATTGCATGATGCATGATGCGAGAGTCGTAGAAGAGCAGTTGCATCACGCGAGATGTTTTTTTGGCTAGGAGCGTGATGGGCGGGGGGGGGGGGGGGGGNGGGGGGGGGGGGGGGGGGGGGGGGGGGGGGGGGGGGGGGGGGGTACCAATCCCCTTGTTGCAAGTTTTCGTACTTTCATTCAAAGTGATCAAAGACTAATAACGAGTGTTCTTTCAGGTATTAAACTAGTTGGTGGGAGATGACTCGCCGCATGATCGGTAGGGGTAAAATGACTGTTGCGAATGCCACAGCAGTGCGACATCGCCGGCACGTTAGAGGCTGGGGGGGGAGCAGGGAAACGCGTGTGTGCGTGCCGTTGGTGATATTGTTCTGTGTCATGTCAAAGTCCCTGTTTATTTTGCTGTTGTTTGCGACACACCGCTATCGCTGTAGTGAAGTGGAGGGGAGAAGGAGAAGGAAACGGCATGGATGGATGGATGCGGCGAGTAAAAGGGTAAATACAGCCAGAAGGTACACCTTATTTGTGAGATTGGCTTTCATGTGCGACAACGGCACATGCTCGGAACACCGCACGGGCTTCTCTGTCGTCCCGTTATTTCGTGCATAACTATCTGTATGTGGCATGGATTTGCAACAGCATACTGTAGCGTAGCGTGCACTAAATGCTGTATTTGTGTCGAGCGGAGAAGAATCCCTCTTGCTCTTACAACACCCGTCCTTGCAACCCTGGATTCAACGTAGTAGTGTCGTCGGTAGTGCTGGCTGGCTAGTCCGTCTGGTGCGGTGATTATTTGTGTTTCTTGCGTCGGGAACAGACAGGCAGGCGCGAAGGAAGCCGCTGCGCTGCTGCTACGTGCGAGCTGTTCCCTTTCCTCCCGTCCGACGGCGTTCTTCTTTTCTGTTGGTTCTGTTTGTTGCAAATACTCGTCCTGCTGCGTGTTATGTCCTCTGTTTGTTTCCCTCGCAACTAGCTGGCTGGAGGCCTCACTCCCCCCTCCCTCTCCTCCCCGGGGAGGAAGGCAAGGCAGCCTCTATTACCTGTGGCGGGTTTCGATCGCGCGAGGGCTATCAATATCGTGGTTTGTAGTGAATGTTGCACATTGGTCTCTTGTATGTCGGTGGGGTGACGTGGGTGTGTGAAAGGTTGAGGGGGTTGAGGAGCGGCGTCGCACCGTGCCTCTGCTGCGTGGTATTGGGGTATGAAATATATTTGTGCATGCGTGCATGCGCTTGGTTCCTCGAGGAAAATCTCATCGTAATCTACGGATTGATGGTTGACTACGACTGGACTAAGGTAGTGTAGGTCAGTTTCTTGTCCGTGTCGGGCTCACTTCTCTTGTCAATCGATAGGATCGATCGAAGCTGTTGGATTATGGGTCCGTTACATTTTGTCTTTGGTGTTGCCGCTTTGGTGCTGCTGAACACTGCTGTGTGACACGCGCACCGGCGGTTGGTGTGTTCGTTAAAGGACAGGACGCGTGTCGTCCCGTGAGGCTGGATTGTGTCCGCAGCAAGCAGGGGGGAGGGCAAGGGACGGCGGACGTGTTGTTTCAAGTTTTTCTGTCGTGTTAACGAACTGTCGTCGTGGTGGACGTGATAGAAGACCAAGTGAGTGTCGTTCGCTTCGTCGGTGGCAAGCAAGCAAGCATGGCATTGGCATGCGCCATAACAGCAACAGGTAGTAGGTGCACCATTCTTCCTTCCCTCCCTCCCTCCCTCCTTCCGAGTACAGCCTCTGGTGTGTGAGTTGTGTGTGGGATGGCGCAAGAAATATATGGTACCGTCAACTTGAGCGTAAACTGAGCAAAAAAAAATGAACGATCACACGATGTGCACGCACGGGCAAAAACCCCCACGTTCTTCGCCGAAACACACCAAATACCAAGAACGGTGAGAGGGCGTATGGCAAGCGCTGTTGAGGATGGATCGCGAGCTCGTGGGACTCTTTGACGCCTCTACCTCTGGGTGGGGCGTTCTTGTGCGCAACAGTCTCGTTATTCCCGCATTCTTGCGTCTTTTTTGTTGCTTTTATGCCCGGCTCCTTCTGGGGATTGATTTTATGCCCTCCCCATTATTTAAGTGTTCTCTGTTGGTTGTTGACAGCGGGCACACAATACGAAAGGAATGGGAGAGCTACGTGAGGCACGAAGCAAATCCCCCCCCCCCCC